GGAGAGCGAGGAAACTCCTCAGGGACGACTCACACTCTGGTCAGCCTTCTTCACTCTCCTACCACCGGGAAGAGGCTGAAGAACAGTTTCTGCCTGTGGGCTGTCAGGCTCCTGAATGCAAAATAACCACCTCATACGACAGACAATGTGCAACATGTTCCACACTGGTGCAACAGGGCGGTGTGTTCGTTAGTAGGATTCACCGGGTTAGGGGTTTTCTCTCTTCACTGTGAGTTGTATTGTGTCAGGGTGGGGCTGGTGCACAAAGGGAGGCTCAGCCAATCTCATTGTACACATGTTGTGCACTGACAATAAAGTTTGGAATGGAATGGAAGGAAGGAAGGACACCCCCCTCTTCAATCTCCCAATTATGTATTCCAACCCCCGTGGAAAATATTTGCTGGACTTTTGCATTGTGTGTTCCTCGGGTGAATGTGAAGGTATGTATCTAAAGGACACGAAGCAGGCAGAACTAGAACTCACTGCCACCCTGTCTCTAAATTCCCCCAAATCTTCACACAGGGATAAATAATGAATCAAGGTTAGTCAAACTTTTTTTTTTTTTAAAAAAAACTTGTTTGACCTTCTTCCTACTTCACCTCGCAGGAAACCCCTCCTTGTTGTGGTTGTCGTTGTGTAGAAATTTTGCTGGCACCTGGAAAAAACAAAACAACAGCCACTGAGTCAGATTAAAAACTCATTCGGTTTAGATAAACATGACTGCCCTGTAATTATTGCTCCATTTAAAGCCCAAACTAGCCACCATCAGCTCTTTTGGAGCACAACAACCTGGTTTGCAAACATCGATCTGGTTTCCCTTTTATTGAGTGTGTAACTCTAATTAAACCTGAGCGCATAATGTCATAGAATAATGCGTATTTTTATTTAGTGCGCTATTCGAGCTTTGTGCAATAAATGACCTCATTTTCTCCAGTGTGCTGAAAAAAGAAAATTCTTCATAACTTTTCCAACTTATTAATTTAATTTCCACATGAAAAAAAAAAAAAATCCAGGTAGACTGCTCCTGCAGCATTTTAGGGATCCCCCCAGGTTGCGTTGGGCCCTTTGGCTGGCCCTGGCTGGCCCGTGTGAGATTTCCCAAAAATTTTAAATTTAATGTAATAAGTTTACGTCATTTAAGCAATATACAACTGTGTTCCTTCTGGAAATAGTCCTAGATTTAAAACCACAATGGAACACCCAAATTTCTGTTGCTAAGCGAGTCTTGATGCATTTTACCACCTTTCTTGACACAGTCATTAAGTGAATCGCCGCAGTTGTTAAGTTAATCACATGGTGGTTAAGTGAATCTGTCTTTCCTATGGACTTTGCTTGTCAAAAGGGGATCTCATGACCCCTAGATGCTGCGACCGTGATAAATATGAGTCAAGTTATGTCAAGCCTAACTTGGAACGGTCACTAAATGAATGGTTGTACTTGTAAGTCGAAGAGTAGCTATGTTTGTTTTGCTAAATTTGACTTACCTGCAGGGGTCCCCCCTTTGGGAAGGGACTCCTGCAACCCGTCCAGATTTAGGAAAATTTACATGCCTGGAGTCAAAGATGAAAATAAATTAGCTGTTAAATAAATTAACGGACACTGCGCAGATCAAAATCCTGTTTTTCTCGGAGCCCTGCTATTTTTATGACACTCTTACTCTACGTTGGATGGATTTCTTTATTAAATGTCGATTCTTGGAAAAACCCACAAGACAGAAAGGATGGAGACAATTCATGGATAATTTAATTTTATCCTGTTTTAAGGCGTGACTAATTGAGTTGGCCTCTTCTTCCATTCTTGAGTTTGCAGTTAATTCAGAGAGAATTTCGACGACAATTATGTAGCCGAGGAAGGCTGGAGACTTGACTTTAAAAAACCCAAACCAAACAAAAATGGAAAGCAACGATTGGAGAGGCCCAATTTGCAAATCAGTTAAGTCTGGAGGAGTCAGTTAAACTAGCGTGGCAACTTTAAGAAGTTGGACTTCAATTCCCAGAATTCCATAGCTATTATTATGTGCAGTGTAGACTTCAATTGTCTGTATTTCTCTTTCTCTCCTCCTCGCTTTCTCTCCCCTTGTCTCTCTCTCATTCTTTCTTTCTCCCTCACTCTCTCCTTCTCTTTTTCTTTTCTTCTCTCTTTCTTTCTCATTTTGTTTTTTCCTCTTTCTTCCTTTCTCTTTCTCCCCTTTCTCACTCTTTTCTCACTTTCTCTCTTCTCACTTTCTCTCTTCTCACTTTCTCTCTTTCACTTTTTTCTCCACCTCTCGTTCTTTCTTTCTCTTCCCCCTTTCCTTTCTCTCTCTTTCCCTTCTCCCTTTCCCTCTCTATTTCTCCTTTTTTCTTTTTCTCTCCTTCTCTCTCTTTTTCTCCCTTTCTATCTCTCTCTCTCTCTCATTTTCTCTCTTTTCGCTTTCTCTATTTCTTTTTCTGTCTTTCACTTTTCCCCCCTCTCCCTTTCTCTTTTTTTCTTTTTTTCTTTCCTTCTCCCTTTCTCATTTTTCTTTTTTTGCCCTTTCTCTCACTCCTTTTCTCCCTTTTTCTCTTCACACCCTCTCATTCTTAATTCTCTTTCTCCCTTTCTCTCTCTCTTTCTTTTTCTCCCTCTTTCTCTCTTTCTTTGTTCTGAGCAGGGGAAGGGACAACCTCATGCTTAAGGCAAGGGCTAATTTTAACTCAGGGCAGGTGGCCCACCCCTGACTCCAGGCATATAAATTTAAAAAATGCTTAAGGGGGGGAGCAAATCCATTTTTGAGACCGCGAAGGAACTTATTTAGCCAACATCATTATTGAAAATACACACATACACACACACGCATACAACTAAGTTGGAGTTGTGTTTCTGCGGAGAAAAAGAAAATGAAAAGCAGAGATAGCCATCTGCTCGGGAGGAATCTAAAACAGATTTTTGAGCTGCATTAGCAAATAATCCCCAGCCGCTTTGTCTAATCATAGTTCGCATTTCTCAGCAGGGTTGTACAGTAGTCCGCGAGTTACGACCACAATTGAGCCCCCAATTTCTGCTGCTAAGCGAGGCAGTTGTTAAGCGAGTTTTGCCCTATTTTACTACCTTTTTTGTCACAGTTGTTAAATGAATCACAGATGTTAAGTGAGTCACATGGTTGTTAAGCGAACCCGGGCTTCCCCATTGACTTCACTCGTCAGAAGGTCGCAAAAGGGGATCACGTGACCCCGGGAGACACTGTGACTGTTGTAAGTACGAGTCAGTTGCCAAGCACCTGAATTCTGATCATTTGACTATGGGGATGCTGCAATGGTCGTAAATGTGAAAAACGGGCATAAGTCACTTTTTTCAGTGCCATCATAACTTTGAAGTGGTCACTAAATGAATTGTTGTAAGTCGAGGACTATCTGTAATTTTCCTTTCTTGCTCCTTAATGTAATTTTCCAAAGCCATAGAACAGGGTGGTGAATTTATTCTTCTTACAATTTATTTTTCTTTCTTTCTTTCTTTCTTTCTTTCTTTCTTTCTTTCTATCTTTCTTTCTTTCTTTCTTTCTACCTCTTTGTCTCATTCTTTTATTCTCTTCTTTCTTTCTTTCCCCTCCCTTCCTTTCTCTTCCTTTCTTTTTCTTTTTCTTTTTCTCTTTCTCTTTCTTTTTCTTTTTCCTTTCTCTCTCTCTCTCTCTCTCTTCCTTCCTTTCTTCATTTATTAATGAAATTTATTTGCCATCTATATCATATCCAACAATGTTTTAAAGACATTAAAAAATTAAAGGCCTTAAAATCTATAGAAAAATTTAAGAGCACCAGGCTTGCAAACACTGAGAATAATATTGACTTATGACCATTCGTTTAGTTACAACACTGAAAAAAGGTACTTAGGACCGTTTTTCACACTTACGACCATTGCAGCATCTCCATGGCCACATGATCAAAATTTAAATGCTTAGCAACTGATTCATATTTATGACGGTTGCAGTGTCCCGGGTCATTTGATCCCCTTTTACAACCATCTGACAAGTGGAATCAACGGGGAAGCCAGATTCACAACTCAGGGGTGGGATTCAAATTTCTTAACTGGTTCTGTGGGTGTGGCCTAATTTGTGGGTGTGGCTTGCTGACTGGGCATGGCTTGGTAGCCATGTGACTGGCTGGGCATGGCTTGTATGTAAATATTATAAATATTTATGCAAATATAGAATTTTGTATTTAAAAAAAGAGCAACTTTTACCCAGAACCAGGCAAAGCAGGCAGGCAGATTGAGTTGCTCTCAGAATCACAGATTCACTCAGAAATCTACCTTTCTGCAATCTGCTGCCCGAGTCTGCACTGAAAAATAGAAGTTTCAGTCCTAAGAAAGGTCCAGCTCTGCTTTTAGATTAGCTAGAAAGCAAGAAATGCAACGATTTCCTGCTTTCTAGCTAATCTAAATCTCCTGGCAGAGCAGAACAGTTGATGGTTGGGAAGACAAAAAAGGAAAAGTAGCAACTTACTAAAGGCAGGCAAGTTGGATGGCATACATACCAGGTAAAGAGTGAGTAGACAGGGAAGCGAGGGGCCAGCCATTGGAGCGATTTGCAAGTTATCTGAACTGCGCAGAATCATAACAACCGGTTCTATAGAACTGATCTGAGCCGGTAGAATACCATCCCTGACTTAACCACAGCGTGACTAACAACTTCAATGATTCACTTAACAACAGTTGTAAAACGAGGGAAAATTCAGGGAACAAATTTGCGGCTTAGCCACAGAAATGTAGGGCTCGATGAAGTGTCGTAAGTCAAGGACTACCTATATATAACGCACCAGTGTTTAAATGTACCCAAGAAGTCCTCCACGTATGACCACAATGGAAGACAAAATTTCTGTTGCTAAGCTGGATGGTTTTTAAGTGAGTTTTGCCCCCATTTTATGGCCACAATTGTTGGAACGGTCACTAAAAGAACCTTGCACCTTGTCATGAAAAGGTTACATTTGGGTTTCCCATTTGATGGCAAGTATGAATAATAATCGACTTTTTCTCCCCTTCCCTTTCAGCTGGAGTTCAATAATGATCAAATTGAAGGTAAGAGGCACAATCAACGGGTTTCCCTAATTAATTAATTGCTAATTACTTCCAGTAGTTCAGCCTCAGGGGGCTCTTGGCACCAGCATCCTTCACTAACAAAAGGGGGGGAAAAGACTGAAAAGGGAGAATAATCCTCAAGTTATGACCGCTGGGAAGGAGGTAAATGGCGATCATGTGACTGTGAGGATGCTGCAACGGTCGTAAGTATGAGAACCAGTTGTAACTTAATGTTACTCAGTGAAGGCAAGTTCTGGGACTTGGAATCTACCCCTGTTAAATCATGGCCGCCAGGGAATTCTGGGAATTGAAGTCCTCCTCTCTTAAAGCCTTCTGGCTGGGGGATTATGGGAGTTGGAGTCCACCCATCATAAGGCTGTGAAGATTAAGTCTTTCTCTCTGCTCTGAGCGCTTCTCGATGCGTCTTCATTTTCCACATCGCAAAGCCCTTTCCAACTTTCACTGGAGGCATCCTTATTTTGACTCCACCGCTAGACTCCTTTCGATCGAACCCTCCCGGCTTCTCCTGGTCTATTTCAAGCGCCCACCCACCCCAAAACCCATCGGCAGCCGTGACTTGCTTGGCGGTATTGGAAATTGAGGCAGGCGTAGAAGCTGGGAGCGAATTGATCCGCGGATGAGCAGCGCAGAATGTAAATCAATAGGCTGAGATGAACAATAGCAGGAAGGGGTCATTTTGAATTCATGTACTTCGTTTTATTTTGCTCGCTTGACAAAAGTGGTTTGATAGCAAAACACAATTAGATGGAAGGGACCCTGGAGGTCATCTAGCCCAGCCCCCTGCTCAAGCATGAGGAGACCCTACAATCAGTACTCAACTTAACCAGCACAAATGAGCCCAAAATTTCCATGGCTTCAGTAAGACAACTGTTAAGCGAGCTTTGACCCATTTTGTGACCTTCCTTGCCATCGTTGTTAAGTGAATCACTGCAGCTGTTAAGTTTGTAACACGGTCGTCAAATGAATCTGGCTTCTCCGTTGACTTTGCTTGTCAGAAGTCGCAAAAGGGGATCGTGTGACACTGCAACGGTTGGAAATATGAAACAGTTGCCAAGGGTCCAAATTTTGATCATGTGACCATGGGGGAATACTGCAACGGTCATAACTGTGAAATATGGTAATAAGTGCGTTCCTTCCTTCCTCCTTCCTTTCTTCCTCTTTTCTTCCTTCCTTCCTTCCTTCCTTCCTTCCTCCTTCCTTTCTTCCTCTTTTCTTCCTTCCTTCCT